TCTTTCTCGCTAACAAGCAGTCCGAGCTAGACTGCTAGCGTGTAAAAAAGGCCCACGTGTCACTGAACTGTCCATGTCTAACAAAAATTAGTGGTGCACATGACCCTCAACATTAAATATTGCCTTATTATCATAAACTCGAATATGATGTGGGTATAAGATCACATATTGTAATGTAAGAGGTAAAGTCTCACATACTCGAAAAGTTGGAGGTCATTCTGTGGGGTTTTGCTTATTTTGGAGAATAGAAGGATACTTTCTTTAATTTTCTAGGGGTAGGCAAAAATCGGTTTTAAAATAATCAAAAAAAATTTTCTTCAATTTTGAGAACTGAAACCGAATCGAAGTTTTCACAAACCGATTGGTTTGATTACCAATAAAATTAGTTTGATTTCGGTTTTTACTAAATAAATATTAATCTTTTTTTTTTCAATAATAGATTAAATTTTATCTCATATTTTATCATATTTTGTTATATTTATCCAAATTTTGATTTTCAAAAGGCTCATTTTTTGTTTTTGGTTTGTAAAAGGTTCAATCAAAACCGAATCAAAATTTATTTGGTTAATATCAAAACCAAAACAATAAAACTCAAAGATCATTAAAACCGAACCAAATTCATTTTTTTGATTTGGTTTCCAGGTAACCTTTCGGTTTCTCACCTGAATGCCACCCCCATTTTTGGATGTATTTTCGCCACATCGTTATTTTTTAAAAATTAAATTCCCATTTGTCACGCTTAAAACCGAGGTAAAAAAACATTTAACTTCAGTTTAAAAAAAAAGGAGGTAAAAAAGACGTATTGATGAGCATTTTTCGCCAAAGGTAGTGTTTGGTTGAGGGGGGGATTTTTCCCAATTTTGTCAGAGAGATTGGGGGTAATTTAGTAACCTTATTTTAATAAAAATAAAAAATTTAAATTTAAATAACATAACATGTGATTAAAATATAATTAAAGATTGAGAGAAAAAATTATTATTTTTAATTATATACAAAAAAAAAAAACAATTGAAGGGTAATTTAATCCTTACATTCTTCAATTGAAGGGTAACAAATAAAGAATGTTACGTTTTGACACATGTACTGCTCAGAGATCACACAATTCTTAAGAGCTGATGAAGCGGCAGATCGGACAGATCCATGAAAGCTATCCAAATGGCAAGAGATTATAACAAAAGAAGCTGCAGGGGTAGAGGCTGCGGCGTCGTCGGTGTGTAAGAAGAGAACTATCATGTCATGATGAGATGACTCCTAGCAATTAGCGAATGGAGGACTGGTATTATTTATTTGTAGCAGATAAGGTCAACATTTAGGACTTTTAATATATTTAGTACTGTTAATAGACCTTTAAGTGTGTATTTTTTTTTTTCGGTTAGCAGGTAAGTTAAATAATTTGGAATGTGGTTTTTGATTCTTGATTGCGTTGGTACAGCCTCCTTACACACAAATAACGTTGGAGGATTCGAACATGCTTTGCTAGCAAGTTTAATTTGATTTCGATACTGCCGTTAACTTGGAATAAATTCCAAGAATTACTGAATTACAGGGAATAATAAACTTTTTTTTTGTCCTGCAAAAATTTTTTTTTTTCTATATGGTTGAAAAGAATAGTACTCTAGATAGGTAGCCTCAAGTAAGAAGAAATAAAATCAAAATTACAGATGCAAACATATTTGGAGTTATTTACCGTTCTTAAGCATTGAAGAGTTTCCTGAAAGGCCCATCCTTTCTGTCTTTGGCAGCTTCTGTTAAAGCAAGGAACCTCTTAAACCCTGTAGTTGCTGCACCGCGTCCCAGTGCAGCTGCTCTCGTTAGAACGTCCTCCCGGGAGGCAATAAGTCCAACTGATGCGGGACCAGTAAGTGCTGGAGCTGGAGCAGGGGCTGGAGCTGCAGCAGCAGCAACAGCCAGGGGAGGTGGGGCCGTTGAGCCAACTGCTGCTGTACTGGAAGGCTGTGAAATTGCTGGTGCACCTTTGTTGAAGTCATCCAGAATACTCTGCTGATCAGCTTTCTTGAGGCCCTGCATTTGGAAGTTCATTTTACATTGTCAATTTAAATAGTGCACAATATATCCCTCTGATTTTAGCAATTTATCATCAAATTATGACACAGAAAAAACCAGTATGTATAGAATTTCCGTGGTCAACACAGATTGAGAAAAAAGGAACAACAGACATTGCATAGCAATTTGTCCCCAGCCATTTCAAAGGATGTACCAAGCCATTTAAAGAGCAATTTAACTTCACCTTAAGCTCCAGAATACGCTGGAACTCCATAGGTGTTCCCTCTGGTAACAATGCACGATATGTATCTGCAACAGAATCAACTGGAGATAGTATAACCTGCACAATGATGAGAAAGTGAATCTACATTGTGATAAAATTACAGTAACCAGCCTAAACGTAAATGATCAATAAACCAACAATGAACCTTCAAGAGTGCTTCAGCTTTGCTCATCTCACGACTAACAAATTTTGAGTAGCCAGCAGCACCGGAAGTCTGTCAAAGAAATAATTTAAAATCAGGTTTGCATGTTTATTTTTTCCATTTCTTTTTCTCTTCGCAATAGTGGAGAAAAGAAAATTTAAAATAATATTTATAAGTTTTTCCTATACAGAAGTGGGTTTGTTTATAGCTATTCAATTAAAGAAAACATAGACAAATTAACAGTTGTAATCAATAAAAGGCTTTTCAGATTTTAAATTTCGATCAAATATTGCTCATTACTGAATTGAAACACCTCATAATTCATCAAAATGGAAAGTAGAAAAGCTTGACAGAATTGGGAAAGATGGTGTTCAAACAGTAGCAATTTTTACCATACATTAACTAAAAGCCACTTATATAGCATCAAATATTAAATTGAAAAGTGTAATATGGAAAATTAAATAAGCTTCTAATCCAGATGCATAACATATAAATCATATACACTGACCTGATGACCAAGTGAAGGAATGTCCAGAAGAATCGTCTTTACAGCTTGAGTATCCAGTAGCATCTGCAGAATGGCTTCATTCATCATCTCTAGAGCACTCAAGCAAATAAAATAAAGCTTCCCAACTTTGTGAGAAATGATAACATATAAGTTGTCAACTATTCTAATTCTGGATGCCACCACAAAAATGAAACAAACAGATAAAAGGGGAAAAAGGGAAAAAAAATGATCAGTACTTGTTGGGCTCCTGTTTCCGATATTTGCTTGCATTTGAAAATGTTGGCATAGAACCGTGGTCCAAGTGAAGATGCAAGCTGAATTCAATAAGAAATAAGCAAATTAAAATTTTGGGAAAGTTCATAATTTCATTACACTCAGTAGACAGGAGCACCATCAGAACAAATTTTGCACACTCAAAGGCTGATAAAAAAAATAAAATATATATATATATATATTTTGCACACTCAAAGGCTGGAAATTCCAAGCCACAATATTTTTCCCTTTTTTGGCAATCCAGCTGTGATATCATTGAATTTGAAACAAAAAGCACATCGATATTCTACACACTTTAAAGTGAGCATGCATTCGCACCTACGCACTGGCATGGGAGCATACCTAATTTCTTAGTGTGCTCGAAAAAGAAAGCAGGAAATAACACTACTGTAAATTATGAATAGAATTGTAGGAGACCTATATTTTTCTTTAATTATAATCACCTTGTCCAAGAAGAACTGGAAGTAAACAGTTGAAAGTAGGCTCCCAAGCACAGGAATGCTACTGGTAAGGATCATATTTATGCCATTAACATACCTGCAATAAGGTTAATGAGTGTAGATTAGAATCTATCTCCTGCCCTAGTGAATTAAAAATGTTGAAGGAATACCCCTTACCCTGATTGGTCCCCAACACTCTCAAGGGTACCCCATGGAACACGTGTCATCACAGCCATCTCAACATCAAATTTAGTTTCCAGGCCATGCACTAGGGTAACCAATGCTTTAGTTATCACAGCTGAAAATTCATCCTGCAAAATTGCAAGGATTTATAGAAGTTAAAGAAAAAAAAAAACAGAGGAAGATTTTCTGAGGAATGAATTGGTCATGGAATATGCAGCACCTGTGCTTCTGACATATCCACTTGATCTGCAAATTGTGAATCAATGATTTTAGACACACTTTCAGCTAGTTCGCCAGACTGTTGCAGAAGTAAACTTTAGTTAGTGAAACTCTAAATCAATCCCCAATATCAACAGCAAGAACAAGTAACCTTAAAACAAGCTCATATGACATGCATTCACAATATAATAAACGCATGCAATATTCAATAATTAAGAATTGATATGGTGCTTTGCATTCTAATTATTAATTCACAATTCGGAAACTGACCGTTTTATGGCAATATTCAGCTGAATTCACAATATAACAGATCACTTTTTCATCCCTGTCCGATGTCTGTATGGTGTTGCCACAAATGAAAACTAGAACATTAGCATATGACATGACAAAGAAGTGATTTGCCAAAATACCTGAAAACTGAAACAACTCAGTTTATACCTTTATTTGTCCATCAGTGCCAGTAGCAGCTGCAACAATTCCTGTACCACCCTTTGGTAGTCTTGCAAAAAGCTTAGTAGCATATGCTTTGAGGACTCTTTGAAATACCTATGTACGTAGAGAGGCATGAGATGATATATGCATAAACAAATTACTTGACATTCTATTAATGTGACGATGCTGTCATCTGAATCAGTCACTAATTTTTGCAGCTATTAAGATGAGGCTCTTCCAAATCACTTCTTAATAATCAGAATTTATCCTTTAGATACCTTGACAATGCTACGCAGAAATATGAGGTTCTGTTTTAGAATGATCAGACTTATATCACTGCTAATTGTTGTTGAAGATCCATTTTAAACACGTCTTATTAACTAATTTTCTAACCAATACTTTTGCAACAGAAACCTAACAAAAGGAGTGGATTTTGAGAATGCACCTTGAACAAATTAAACAGAGTCTGGTTCTTTGTCAAAGCACTGCAGCGCTTTAAGCTCCTTTTGATTATAAGAAACAACTTAAAAACAACACAAGTAAACAAAATCAATAGGGGGAATATGCTAAATAATTTCTTTAACATAACATGAAAGACAAAATGAACTATAAGAAGCCATAGTAAAAAATAAACACAAGGCCCCTTCTCATGACTCAATATTAAGAGGAAACAATAAAATATTAACTAAAAAGGCAGTACAGTGCACAGTTCATGATCATTTAAAAAAAACTGACCTAAGATGCACATTTCAAAGAAGAAGACAAAAGCCAACGCAAAACACTGGCAAATATTCCATATTTCCAGAAGTAACAGAAAACAACAGAACATTTCACTGTTACCTGCATGCTACTAGATAGAACATTATTCTGATTTCCTTCCTCAACATCCCATGTTTCTTCCTATCATATGAAAATCACGGTTCAACCTCAAAATAATGAGAAAAGAAAAACAAAGCAAAGTGGACTAATCCACACTATACACAAACCACCTGAACAAGTTTCTCAAGGTTCTCCATCAGTGTCTTCTCCTCTAACTCTACATATACAGTCAAGTGAGGCTCAAAGTAAGACGAAATAATTCCTCGGAAGTTGAACTGCCAAGTCAAAAAAGACAATTCCATTGAGCATGGGATAATTGGATTGAAAATGTGGTAAAGGAACCACCTAACAAACAGATTTAAGAGTGGAAAACATACTTCAAAAGATTCATTGATTCAGGGAAAAACACAATACTAAGATCAATGGACTGTGGCACATCAATGGACTTTAAGGCATTTTAGTAAATTCAATTTCAAAGAAAGAGAGTGATTTATTACTCCTGGTTTTCCAACTGGAATAATTGTCAACCACCTCAATGGGATTACATGCCTAAACTAGGAACAAAAGTAGTTTATAGGAAAAATGTGTAGGTGCTACCAACTCAAACTCTTGGTATAATGTGCTGTCAATTTTTAGTTTCCCAAGGAAATGCAAAAGACTATGAAGTTCAGATAGATTAAAGTAATGAATGCATAAGATACAAGCTTCTGGCACTGTACACAGGCCATTTACACTATCAACCCCTATGTAAGAAAAATTCTTTAGAAGATTAAGATTACCCCAGCTCCAGTTACTGACAGATCTTTGTTTCCATTCTTCTCCTGTCAAAAAAGTCAAAAAACAAATTGGAGACAATTATAAAATTCTTCAATTGAAATCTTTTCCATATACAATGAACATGTAAAGCATACCTCACTCTCACTTTCTTGATGAACAGCAAGCTTCTTTTCATACTTCTTTCGAATATCTGATACATTTTGACTACTGTTCTGCCCCCTACCAATTTCCTCAATATCATTTCCAAGATCTCTGCTCTGAGCACCTCCTCCAAATTTCTCTGCCAATTCATCCTCAAATTCTAGTGTTCTTTGTAGTGCCTGATAACAGTTCCAAAATATATAAGAGGTTCCAAGAAATATCCACACAAAAAACTCAAGAGGATGAGAAACAGAACATAGTAATTACCAATTAGAAAAATCCATATTAATTTACAAAGTAGAATCCAAAATGAATCAACTATCAGGAAAAAATCACTTCAAAGGATGCAACTTGGAGAAACTTCACATTATCAATACTTGTCTTTAAACACTGATAAGAACCAGGCCTTAGCATGGGCACCCAACCACTGCGGTGGTCACCCTTGGGTGTTCCACACAGTTCACCTGGCTTCAAAATTCACTCATAGAAAATAACATCAACCCCTAATAATATATGTAATCTGACAAACTTCGCTAAACAAATTAAAGTTAACAACAAGGATAACAAAAGCTCTAGCTGAACACTTCTGTGTACATTTGGGATAGCTCTAAACAAAAACTTATATAAGCTTCCATCACTCATCATTTAGCCACAGAATATGGCTTACCAATAACAAAGTTGCAACATCAGGCTTTTCTTTATTGTCGTCAAGGATCCCCTCCAATTGTTTCCTGCAAAAGAAAAAAAAAATGTAAAGACAATCCAGAATCTATATAATATTATCCAAGAATGATATAACTTATTTGATAGGCCCTTTTTTATTTCAGTATAACAAATTTCATTTGCTCTGTACTATTTCTGATCAGGTTACAGTCCTTCTAAATCTAAGGTTCCTTCCATTTCTCTCCCCTCCCCTCTGTTTCCCTCAAACCAAACAGGGGGTTAGTTACATTTAATCAAACCAAATTTAGGGCTTTCTGTTAGAAACTTAACATAGAGCATACCTTGTCTTATTACAGAATAGGATGCAGAGCCGATAAGGGACAAGCCATGAAGTAGGAAAAATTCTCCAGATTTCCTCATTCGTTCTCATTCGACGCTTAATCCATGCATATCTTCGTTCTGTTTTATCCAGCTTAGCTAGTTCTAGAAAATATTAACATCAATTTCAGAACCATGAAATCGGGGGTAGAAACCATGCAGAATTTACATACCAAAGATGGATGCAGAAAACAGGGGTAAAGCCACACCAACCAGCTCCTTCAAAAATTTGCTCATATGAGGTAAGCTCCCTGCTACAAAAGTTGTTTACTAATTCCTCTTTCACAGATGGCTCTAATGCATCAACAACAAGACAAGCATCAGATAACTGCTGCAGCAAATTAGTTTCTTCAGTCTCTTTCCCAGTTCCCAGGCTGAGATTAAAAAGAAAAAATTATGAGGCCCAAAAAATAAACCAGACTGATTCATTTACTGGAAAGAACTGATATTGGAGGTCTTTAGCCCCCTTTTTTGTTTGTCTCATCTTGTTTAAAACTCACTTATATTCTTCATTTTGATCTAGTTGTGAAGACAATTAAAAACAGTATTTCCTTATTCCAGGATCCTTGTCTTTGCTTTGAATCCTTGGGTTAAGACATTACTTTGTCAATCTTTTATTTCAAAAATACATGCCCCTTTTTCTTCAGTTTATATTGATAGATAGATTATAGTGATAAAAAGAAATCAATTACAAGAAAAAAAGGAACACAAGAACAATTCCTGCATGGTAAACTTTTTATCAAAAGACTTTTGAAATTTTAAAAAAACTGCCTTTTTTTATTTGAAATCCGATCCTTTCAATTTTGATATCAAAGAAACACTTATGAAGTTGTCCCAATTTATTGATTTGCATTAACTAACCCTAGATCCTTCCCCCTGAAAAATGAATAAATACTTCCTCCTGGATCTCCATTCTTACTATTTCCATAAAACTCAACAAAACACGACTTCTGGTAGAACCAAATAAAGGCAAGTAGGTCAAATTCAAATATCACATACCTTGAGAAATCAGAGAACACATGTGATTTCAGTATCTGTTTGATATTCTTAAACCTCTCTCTAAGCTCTGTGATTTTTGGAATATCCCTGTAGGCTTCAAAATGACCACATAACTGGTTGACAGCCTGAAATCCATCATAAATTGTTCTTAAACAGGAATGCTCCTGTGTAAAGCTAAAACGCAATAGTGAAGAAAAAGTGAAAATGTTAATAGGAATTCCTTTTTCTGGTTACATAAAAAAAAAAAAAAAAAAAAAAGGGAAAAAAAAAAAGGGAACTTACAAACATGAGATGAGAACATAAAAAATGTTGAACTCATGCCAAGTAAAAAGCTGACAAACAAAATCTACAACAACTAAAGGTTGAGTTGGCTGACAAACTTTGTTAGGAGGGGAAAAAGAAAACACACAAACAGACAAAGATAGATGACCAATGCAATATTTCCAAAGCAAAACTTCTTTTAGCCTCTCTAGTGATGCTGAAATTAATAACCACTAAGGAATAAGGTACCTCTAGCTGTGCAGCTGCCTCCTTATATTGCCGTTTTGAAGCTAAAACTTGAAGTTGCTCCACTGCAGAAACTGCAATGCTAGGAAACAGTTATTTTCATCATAAATACATATCAAGAGTCCAACAAACATGCATGAAAAAACTAAGAAGAGATTTCTTCCATATCTAATCTCATTTGCAGGCTCAAGAAAGATAGATCTTGCACAAAACCTGATTACTAATACATGCTATAAATTCTTGATCATGCTGAGTAAATAAAAGCAGAGTTGATAGAGAGGGGAAGCACAGGAGAAATGGGGAGCCTCACCTAGCATGGTAAGACGATGAAGAGCAGTAATTGTAGTTGTTATGTGCTTTTTTGCAAAGTCCAGCTTCTTAATATCCCGACATATTTCTTGAACCATTGTCTCACTTTGCTCAGCTTTTGTTTTTATCTCACGAATTTTGTACATGAGTTCCTACTCACAATAGGATCAAATTAATCTTTAAAAGAAAAAAGAAAAGAAGAAACTTAGAAATCCCACAATCTATCTTATGCCATTGCTATTGGAAATTAGGGGCTCAACACCTTTTCAAATCATGCAGCTAAAAAACTGATAAGAAACACTTAAGACAAAGGAATCTGGTGATGCAACCAACTTTGATTTCTTCACAAACAGCATTGGAAATTTTTTTTAAAGAACTAACCTCCACAGCACGTGTAGCAGCAGCAAGATTTTCCTTGGCCTTGGTTCCTGAGTTACTCTGAAATCACAATGGCTTGGCTATCAAATAACTTAATATAAAGAGGTAAAAATTTTATCATGCAGTCCACATATCTGACTCTGCTCCAGGGAAAGTATTCAATCTTCTTCCAACCAAAGTACAGTAATCACTTTAAAATCCATAGCTGTCTCACCTATCCCTCCCCAAAAAAGGAAAAAAAAAAAAACTATATTTCTCTAAATTTTCTGAAAAAATCATCTTTTTCCAGTAGATGCGAAAGAATTTGCTAAAAATCTCCTGGTATTTCCACTGATTTTTTTCAATGTTCCCTGATTCTTTTTACTGCAAATGGAAATTCTCACAAGAGGAAAAATATTAGACGACATTTCCTATGAACTATGAAGACTTGAATTTCACAAAAATATAACAAAAAAGTTCTATGTGTTTTGCAAACTCTAACATTGGAAGCAAATCTTCTGCAACCAACAGAGTACGTGATCTAGTTCAATTTCAGATAGCTTCTATGAGAAAGATCATCACCTGTTGACGAACAGCAGCCAATATTCCAGCATCCACACGATGAATCTCACTCTGAATCTTTTGCATTAGCGGCTCGACGTCCGACAAAGACGCCTCTGAATATGGAACACAGTGTACAATGTCAAAAGATAGAACAAGATGAGCTCCATTACTTAACCAGAACAAGTTTAGAATCGAATCAAACACTTGAATTTTAGCCACCTTCCCTTCAAATTCCATGATTTACAACAACACTTCACATCAGATCCTGCTTATATAATTATTACCTGTGGGAAACATCTGGTTGATGTATTCCAAAGTACTCATTTTATCCATTGCTTCACAAAAACTGATACCATCAACAAACTGAAAAGCATGTAAAAGCACAGGCACTGTGAGCTCGTCGTAATAAGAAATTATACAGACGCCATAGCTGAGATGTGAGATCAGGATTGATATTGAGCTTCGAAGTACCGATGCCTCAAAATGGAGCTCGGAATCGGTATATGGACTGGATCAAAAGCTAGCTGCGTGAAATCGAAGAAAACTTATGAATTGAGACCGTTATCGGTGGGAATTTTGCCGACGACCTGGTAAAGGCTAAGCACTTAAGCAGCCCATTGCAACTGAGGGAGAAGAGTCAGGAAAAAAGTTACAGATGAGGATATAAACTTTCATACTTTTAGTAATTAAGGATATAAACTTTTTTTTATTACTAATTAAAATTTAAACTACGAAATTATTCCAGAGCCCTACTTTTCTTCTTTTTTTTCCATCTATTTTCTATCTCCTCTTTACATTCTCTCTCTTTCTACTGCAGATCTACTAATTTGTTTTTTTAGTTTAAGTTGAATTTTTCTCTAAATAAATTTAAACTCAAAAAATTATTAAAAAATTCTCAAAATATGAAAATATAAAAATTAAAAAAAAAACTGAAAATTAAAATAAAAACTCGCAACTTTGCTGGTCCCAAGGAATCTACTCATTAAATTTCATTTATAGTAAGTGAAAATCTACACAACTTTATTTTAAATAAAAAACATGCAATATTTATTTTTTTTTTTAAATCTCAAAATAAATTTAAATATTTTTTTAATAAAAACACAAACTTAAAAAAATAAAAAATTATGGATTCGTATGAGTTTCTTTATCGCAAAAGGTTTTTAATTTGTACTAGAATATTGTTTTAGCAGTAAAAGACACATATGAATCCATAATTTTAGTTTGTATTTTTATTAAAAATATATGAATTTATTTTTGAGATATTTTTTTTAAAAATAAATATTATAT